TTATTAATTATCATAAGCTGAAGCTGCATTATTAATTATTATAAGCAGATAGACATGGAACGAACAGTTTTGCTGAAGTATCTAAAAATTTAGTAGCTAAAAAAGTTATCAAAATAATTATGTGGGACGCTCGAGTTGGTTGCTAAAATATCAGAATGGTTTTGCTTTTTGCAGTATTGCTCATCACGTTTTCTGCATAATTATGTTGATGATTCCAATAAAATTGTTTTGAGATTTGGATGTAGCTACTAAATTTTTAGATACTTCAGCAAAATAATTTTTTTCACATGTAGGATTGCGACATCGTAACCATTGTTCTTCGTAATCATTGTTCTTCTGTAATGTATCTTCTTTTTTCTTTATGATCTAATAAAGAATAGATGCGAATAAAAGCGCATTACTATGAAATTGTCACTGTTCATTTAGAAAGAGGTAGCTTGAATTATATTACTCTATTTTTCTAAAGTGTCTGGTTGAAAAGAAATACTGATTTGTTCAATTCTTCCTAACAGAGCACAGCTGCTAAGATCAGGAATCTAACGTATTAATGTTCACGTTTTTTTTTTCTTATACTTTTGTTTGTACTTATAAACATGCCTTTCTTAACGCTTTGAATTTCTGTAAATATAAGAACGGATGAAAAAGAAATCCATGTACATACATACTAAAGACATGTCACGCCATGCACATGCCTATATCGTCCTCATTTGCACGTGCATCTTTTCATAAAGGATCGTTCTTTTTACAAGCCGAAGTGCATGAATACACGATGAACATAATACACGACTCTGAAAAGCTTCTCATAGTTTGTAGATTCTTTCTGTATCACTCAAATTCAGAAACGTTTATCCAGATATTTTTTTTTTCTGTATCGCATGTAAATTATAAAATTTGTTTATTATCATTTCGTTATGGGAATGGATTATTTGTTTTCTGTTTTCAAATATATATTGCATTATTTAATAACAACATGCCATATGCTGAAAAAAAATATTTGTATCAGTGGATGTTTTATATTGAAAATAAAAATATTTTAAAATTAACTTGCAAAAAAAAGAACCATTGTAACGTTATAATGGCTCGGTTTTTTTGTGAGTGAGTATATTTTAATATCTTAAAATTTAATATTTTAAAGCTGAATACGGAATATAAGATAAATAATAGTTTTAATATAAGCGAAGTTTCACGAAAGTTCATCGTGCAGAGAGCAGAGATGAAAGTTACAACGACAAAATTGAGTGAGGGAAAATAACTTATGTACAACGCTTATTAACGCATCCTTTTATGCGTATTTACACGAGAACAAAGAGATGAAGGTTAATTAATAGGCGGAAGAGTTCTCCGCTGACTTCATACCGTATACCTCGGAATTTTGATGCTATATCTTCGTATTTCACCATTTTGCCCGGCTGCAAATATACGTATATGCCCGTTGCAGCGTGAACGTCTCTTTCTGTTCTCGGACTGCCTTCTGTCTATCGTTTGATATTTCTCGTAATCTCTTTGCTATACTCGCGAAAATATATTTCGCGCACAAAAGAGCAAATAGCCAAGCACTTTGTACGCGACACTGTTTTGTAATATCAATAGATCTAATGAAATAGAAGAGTGAAAAACGGTCTCGGGTTCCTTTGTATCTTGTAATTAACGAGTACCGTCATGTACATTCAGAATAAAATATAAGTAAAAATGGCATTTAAAGAAAGGACATATAAATGTAAAACTTGGTATTTTTTAAAACTAAATATATTATTATATAATTAATTATAAGATTAAAAATACAAGAAATGAGAAATAAAATTGTTTATAAATATAAATGTGCAACGTATATAATTAAATATAAAAGATTCGAAGTATTAAAAATTTAGATGAAATAAATTTTACGAACATGCAATTTGAAAAGTCATAAATTAACAACGAGAATTATTTAATTTTCTTTGTACTTTCATGAGCAATGTTCTTTATATCTGAAAACAATGCCAAAGGATGCTAATAAAGGAATGCGTTTTATTCAAACTGCAATACTACAAATAACTGGTATGCAAATATTGTAGGTAGTAAAAAGGTAGTAAAAAAGGATGATCTTTCTCTTATATTGTAAAATGTTGATATAAACATTTGCAAATATTTATATGTACACGTATCATCCTAGTAACAATACTTCTTTAACGGTTGTTAAATTTGAAATTATTGAAGATACGTACTTTTCTTGCCGCATTCCACTTCCGAGAGTTTCCACTGGATTACGTCAAACGTTCCTATCGAGCGTTTCACTCAGATGCACCAGGTGCACCAATCGTAATTAAAGAAAGAATGAAAAAGAAGCAGAACTGGAGTAATCTATAAATAAGGCGACGACAAGGACGTATATTACGATATAAATATATCTTATATCTCTTATACGAAATATGTATTTTATTTTTATACTAGTAGTATATTTCACGCAACATTACGTAAATACGTATGATACGTATAACAGAGTTACACAATATTTAAATGGGTAAATGTATATGCATGTGTCTGTATCTGTATCTGTATCTGTATAATATGGTAATACTTTGTTTTTATACGTGTGATTAAGTAGATATAAAGTTAAAGGGGTTGACATTTTATTACGTGTGAATAAAACTAAAAATATTGCTAGAAATTACATCGTTTGCGATTTATAATTAAAAACATTCATTATTGGCGAAATATGTTTGCGTATGATCACTTTCTTGTGAAATTTATGACGTCTACATCTACAATTTTAACGAAAGAAAGAATGAGAAAGAGAGAAGCCGTTTGCATTATGTTAATTGAGATTTTTAGAGAAGATATGTATGTGCAATAGCGCTGAACGGAAATATCAATCAATGACCTTCGTTTTCAGGATCTGCCAACGAGTAGGTATATTTCGTATTCGAGTGGTTGTTGTCAAAACCTCGGCTTTCCTTTTTGCTCGCCCGGGCTTGTCCATTCATCTACGTTCAATTCCATCTAGTCTTTGAACCGAATTCCCTATCGGCTTCGCGCACACCGTTCCGCTCCTCGTACATCCGATCCGTTTGGTAGCATAGAGCTATCAAATTTAGAATTCCACCATTTAGATTCGAAAGTCACATATAATACTTAGGTAATATTGGATTGTGGTATACAGACGGTTGTAGAAAATAATTAGTTGAATATACACATATATATATATATATATATATATATATATAATATAATACATGTTGCAATAATTTAATAACATAGGTAGGTATAAAGATTTTTTTTTTAAATGTTTTTATTAATTGTGTTATCGCACATAAACAGAATTTTTTTGCGTTAACGAGTAGTTTTTTGTTTTATATTTTGAAGCTCAGAATTTCTCCTTCTCGTTCTTGAATTACGAAAAATTTTGCAAATCATAACTTTCATTTTTTTTCCTGAAACAAGTATAATCAAAATACAGTTATTAGAAACGAAATGTTATGAACGTTATATGAACGTAATACTATTAACATCTCAGCATATATTCTCTGTTTTTCGCTCAAACATACTTTGTAAAAATTTTCTTTAAGTTTCAAATATTCTGTGAAAATTCTAACTAACAAAAGTTTCAGAAATTATTTACATGATCATAATGTAGAGAAAAAATATTTTATGTATTTATAAAAAATTTGTTTAGAATAAAAAATGAAAAAAAATTATATTTTTTATAATTAAAAATGGAAAAATAATTAAAAAACTTTAGGAGAGTTAAACGTTTAATATACATTTCATAATTATATTAATTAAACTCCTCTACTTGCACGTATAATATGAGGCAAAAAAAATGTTTATCTTTAAAAAAGAAAAAGTATTATTAATTAACCTTCAAAATAATTTCTTCATAAGTTTGAACACCCTATTGAAGAAAGTAATTATTTTTACCCTTGCATTAAATTTAATTATTGTTTTATTACTACGTGGAAAGAAATGATTTTATTGAAATATCTAAAAATTTAACTAAGAATAAATCTGAAAATAATTTTGTTGGACCACACACATTAAAATAATTATATAGGAAACTCAAACATGAACAATACTGCAAAAATTGTTATATTCTAGCAGTCAACTTGAACGTTTTATGTACTTATTTTATTAACAAAATTATTTTTTTCATTTGTATCTAAATTTTCCAATACCTCAGCAAAAACTTACTTTCTGTGTAGAAAACTTAGAGACGGAAACAAGAGATTTTCTCTTCGACAAAATTTATTTCGTTAAGTACGAAGAAAACGTAACTGTTACTGCTTAATAGTTGAATATTTTCCTAGAAGTGCAGTCTCGTCATTGTTTCTCTTCGAGATTAAATTGCCTCGCCGATTGCACTCGTCGTCAATTGATATTAGCCGCAGTAACAACGAGATTTTTCTCATGCTTTCTTTTGCAGACGCTACCGTTCGGTGGGCGGAATAAACGCGAGGGTGGAATAAATCATCGAGAAGTGCGTGCCCGTGGGATGCATTACGCGCATTACCTCGAGAGAATCTCCATCGTCGAGCCAGAGTCCATCGGACGAAATAATGCGATCGAAACGTATCAAGAAGGCGGCACTCTTCAGATTGCTCAGATACAGACAGTGCGCCAGGTGCCGACAGATAACTTAGCGTACCCGAGAGTATTCGAGACGATAGGTCGACGAGAATAAAGAGAAATAGGAAGCGCACATACGAGAGCACATGAGACTGATCGCCATCGCGGCAATGATCGACGAGCGTAATTTCACTTCACTGGCTGTGATTTTTACTCCTAGACTCCAGAGGCTTGACGCGTGAGAATTGTTAAGACTGATCAAAGTAAACTGCTCAGTGACTTCACCGAGAAAGCCTGCAACATCGTTCTGCGACGTAAGTTGTGGCATCACACGATCGAATCAATCGTATATAAAAGCACATAAACATTATATTGTTAGTGTAAACGTTAATTACGATTTAAGTATTGCCTGTAATTTCTTAAAAACTTCTTAAAATTAATCTCATCGAAGATAATTTAGACGAGAGGATTTCTCATTTTCGCGAAGACGCGCGTTGCTTTTCTTGCGTTCGCGTTTTTGTAACGTCGTCGTAGAGCACCGGTTGGTACATACAAACGACAAAATTCCCTTCATGGAATCAATAAGATGCACGTGTGAAGGTACCGCGTTGTCGAATAATCACGCGCGCTACGAAAGTAAATACGATTTCTCTCGCATCACGGATATGTTCATCGGACGAACTCGGTGTTCCAGCTCGCGGCCGATTTTCTCATATTGTTCTCTCTTTTGCGTTATTGAAAATCGAAATATTTCAAGAAAGACCTCTCGCGAAGTGTTTCCGCGAGAATTTGGTCGGGATTTGCAGTAACTTTAGTCACATCAAGTGGAAAAACGAAGGAGTACTTGGAGGCTTGCCGAACTTTGGAGAGGAGAAATTGCCAGCATTGGGAAATTTTGAGTGGCACTTAGAAATAGTCCAATACTTGGACCGTGCAATAATTATTTCGCTGCATCGGCAGAATTAAAATTGTCACGCCGTCGTCTTTGTTATAAAGCTATTTGGCGCCTCAATGAAATTGAAAAAACTTGCGAAACTTTAAAATGCTTTGTGACATCCAGATAGCAGAATAATAATAGATGGAGAGTAACAATTAAAAAGTGCAGGCAGTCGAGAGGAAATATCAAAAAAGAAAGCGGAAGGAGAAAAGATGAAAAGCAAGAGTTATTACTCGCGATCGAGCGAGCATTTTAAATGTTTGGATTGAAAGAGAGGAAAATCGAACTGCAGAAAAATTGAGGAGAGGGCAATTAAGGAGGAGAGAATCGGGTAAGGGCCGAATGGGAATCGAAACGTGAAAAGGTAGAAACGAATTCAAGTGGATGATTCGGCTGAGGTTCGTATAAAGTGGAGGAATAGAAGTGAAGAGAACAGGATTTTATTCGGTGTTTTGTGAAAATATATATCTGCGTAGTGATTAAAATAAAGGCCGCCGAAAATTTGATTATTTTAGACTGAAAATCGGCGCTAATTAACACAATTGTATAATTATTTAAATTGAATTTCCGAGAGGAGCGCTGAGTTTTTCGACGCGTATTAGAGAGAGATATTTTAAAGATATTTCAGCGAAATTAGATCAGAAATTGTGAGGTAAACTTATGGATGAATATCGTACTTTAGGAAATTCGGTTAATTAAAAGTCCGCCGATTATTTTTTAATCGGTGCTTCTATAAAGTACTGATTAAGTATCATAATGATACTATAGTAGTAGTAGTAGTAATATTATTTAGTTCCTTATCAAGAATAAGTGTAACAGCCAGACTTCCGCAATACGGAAAGAGCGACAGTGAAACTCATCGAAAATTCATCCGGCGTTTTGCGCAACTCGAGGAATAAATTGCGACCAAACCAAGAGGGATCGTTGGAAATTCATTCGGCATATCAGATTCTCGCGTAGAAGCGAAGTAATTAAAGAAAACCCGTGAGAATGTTTAGGCAACCACGAAGAAGGATAATTGAAAATTCATGTAACGTTTTAGCTCCTTTTTCTCTTCGTGAGAGGTATGAAGGAAAATAATTGGCGGTCCATTGGACGTCTTAATTGACTGCGTAGAGAAAAAAAAACACTAAGAAGGAAGATATTAGCTTTGATTCCCGAAGAGAAAGAGGCGAAATTCCAAATGATCGAATAATAATGAAATTAATTTGGTATATTTGAGCGGGAATTTAAATGATTGAATTAAAGATTTAATCGGCTACTTGGCGCGAACTCGAATTAGAAGGTGCGAACGAATCGCTTTCGACAAGTCATTTGAACCAATATTTTATTCGATTTCGAGGGAAACATATAATGCAGTGAAAAATCGATGAGCAGAGAAAACGGGGGAGTTAAGGAAACGCGTGAGAAATGTCACTGAATGTGAAAAATTATTCGTAACAAAATCCAACAATCTCGCACTCGACAAGTAGAGGATGCGTCGTTCGTGAAGAAGACTGTTAAGGCAGGAAGAGAAAAACAGTCGAAAAGAGAAAACGTGGAAAACTAAAGAAATTCCGGAACCTGTCAAACGATTCCAAGTACCGCGGTCTTTCCGTTCGGTAAAAATCGATCATTGAGAAATAAAATCTTTCATCGGTTTGTTTTGCGCGGAAGCTACCACAGAAAATATTAATTCGGTATCGAAAGTCCTTGACAGAGAATAAAATCTACCCACGTTCGAAAAAAGAGTGGGCGGAGGATCGTCGGAAAGGGGAGGCGTGCGAAGTCGTTTAGCGAAACTGATTTACGCGGAATCTACACTCTGGGAATTTTCAGTATCCCCAGCATCGATCGAGCCCTGCTACGCCCTGCATTTCCGACACGTCGACAAACGATCGCGAGAGATCACGAGAAGCTGCACCAAAAATCCGCCGTTCTCGCTACTCGGGGCGGAACGTGATCGTACTTCAGGAAGTCGCCGAAAAGTCAGGCATCGTTTTATTTGCCCTTTTCCCACATAACGCCAGTGAATAGAAGTTCTGTGAAAGGGGGTGAGCACGAGAAGAACACCGGGGGAAAGATTGCAATTTCCGGTCGGCCACGTAACGTTAAATTCATTGCGTCGGGAACGTAATCCTGAGGGACGAGCGCGCGTAGGGCATTCTGAATCGAGATTTCTTGTGGATGACTTAGGGCACAAACGCGCGTCCCACGGCGCCGTTCGTTAAGGATAACACGTGAAGGATACACTTGAACTCTCCGCCCTTTTTCTCCATTTATCGGTACGATCGGTACGGAAAGACGACGAGAAAGTACCAGTGCGAAGAACAAATGGAAGAATCCTGACTCGCGACACGAATCGTAAATAGGCGAAAATGTGATTGTCAGGAGGACTTATGTTCTGTCGAGCATACGTTTTGTCACAGTGGATTATAAGGAACAGTCGACATAAGCGAGAGTCTTGCGAAGATCTAGTGAAGCATATATAATGTGGAAGCGAGGTGAGAATTGAAGGAATTTAATCGAAGTGTGATAAGAAAAAAAATAATTTTCACTACATCTCTTTCTTTCTCTTTCTCATCATTTCCGAAGTTGTTAAATATAGAAACGACGGAAGCAATCTGATTTTTTTTGTCTTAATAAGCAACCATTTATACACACTTATAATGGAGATTCTCTCGGCGTAGAAAAGAGTCGGTAGTTGAGAAATAGGAATTTTTATTCGACGAAAGATCGTGAAATATTCGTTACTGAGTTGAACTGGAATGTAGTCTCAGCCGCAAAACAAGCAACAAGAATTGTTAATCCGGTATCACTCAACGTCGAGAGAGGAGCAATATTTAAGAGAAAAATAATTTTTATTCGTAGGATCACGTAGGGATCGCGATCATAATCTGTTCGTGCAGAAGCATTCGATCGTGCGTGTTCAAATGTGAAAGTTCAAAGCGTTCCGAAGACACCAATAAAAAGAACGTATCTTTTTTAGCGAGGCATGACTTGGAAATTGGTTTAACGACAGTATATTGTAAACCGTCAGCTTTTTTTCGGCTAAATTGGAACATTTATTAAAGTTTTTTGATATTATATCTATTATTGCTGCGAGAGAAATGTATCGATCTTAGAAAACACGAGATATCTTTCATTCTGAAATTTTTTGTGTGGAAAAAGAGTTTCGTGTACTTCTGCAGAATTTGTATATTTGCTAAGTATCGTAGGCAATTAGGACTTCACCATCGATTTATATAATAGGAAGACTCGCCTACAGCTTCCTGGAGGCACTTGGTCGCATTTTATCAAACTAGGAATCGGGAAACGAGGTGAAATCATCAGAAAAGGAGTACGGTACTTAACGAGTCGTTTCGACGTCGTAAAATTCGTGGTAAACGCCAGTCAACGATCGCGCCTAATAGAGGCGACGACGCTGTTTTCAATTCCCGTCGGGATAACGTCTCTCGAGCGGAACGAGCGACGGAAAACTTCCGTCGGATTCGATTTCGTAACGGGAGGAGAAGCACCCTCGCGGGTGGTTGCAGCCGAAGACGATGGTAGAGGTGGGTTACGGGGTAGGTACGTGATCGTCGTGGGATGGCTTATGCGGGGGAGTGAAAAGTGCAGTCAAAGCAGTATAGCGTGGCTAAAACCTCCGGAAGAGAGATTGCAGGCCGCTGCAGACTTTGATATATCCGCGGCGAGGGAAAAAAAAGAGAGGGAAGAAAGAGAAAGAAAGAAAGAGAGAGAAAGAGAAAGATATATGCTGCGATAGAAGAGAAACCAAGATCAAGCGGTGTCAGCGCATCAGGGGATGCCAGCTACGTTCCCTTTCCTATATTGCTGCTACATTGTCTTTTTTTTTAGGAAAACGCTAATGGATCGATGGTACGTGGAACGTATGACAATACAAAACTCGATGACGGACAATTAGGGCGATTTTATCATCAACAGTTTCCGTCAAGGCTCTGACCTTCTGCGCGTTGCGTCAGCGGGATCGCGCGAGATAGTGTTGAAGTATCACATTTATAGAGTCGCGCGTTTCATTCGATTGAAATAATATTAAGTATAAACGCGAACGAAAGAAAAGTCGCGTAGAATTCGAATGTAGATAATTAAACGTATCCGGGGAAGTAACTAGGAAATTCGCGTTGTGAATTATGAAAGACTCGATCGATTGACGTCAAGGCGATTGTTGCAGATCGTGCACTCGAAATTCGCGACGGTAGGAAAATGAAAGCAGCGACAAGTGAGCCACACAGATATCCGAAACACAAACTAGATCGTAGTTTGTTAAATTCGATAGCCTCGGCGAGCTGTCTAAAACAACGCGCTGTTTAAACGCTGCGTAACGTTAGACATCATCCGAGATGCAACGCTAGCGACTGTGTGTATGCTGAGAGCGAGTGTTATCGATTATCCGGAGATAACGTTTTGCGACCCTGTTTGCGACCACGAAACTAAAGCATCGGATTGACTATCGAGCAGTGTATGATCAAGTGTTTCGGCAAGCGTGTATACGTGCACATTAACGAACTCATCCGACCGTAATCGTGGAAATATTGATGGAAATCCACGGGGATTGATCTTCAATTAACGACCGCGTTCGACGAAAAATTAGAAATAATTTCTAATAAACGAGAAAGGCAAAGAACTTTGTTGTAACAGTTAACACTACATTGATAGTATAAAAACAAGTGTAATTTATTTCGCAAATTTGAAGTAGTGTTTAAGAAAATCCAGTGACAATCTTGAGAATAATTCAGAAACGAGCTGCAATTCCTGTCGTCATTCTGTGTAACATAAAGATACTTAAATTAAGTGGCGTAATATAAAATTGCTTGATGTAACGTCTTGACGACAATTCGCGTAAGATATAAATTAATTGAAAAATTAATTAAGAAACTAAACGTAATTAATCGATAATATAGAAAATAATATACCAAAGCGTGACTGTTCCTCTCAGGTTCAAAGATCATGATAAACATCGAGCTTCCTCCAGTTCTAGTCCTATCATCGAGTGAATCGATAGGCCAGTCATAAAGTCTTCACTTATTATTTCTGATAGTGCGAGAGGATTGTGGTGTTCTGTGAAAACTGCAAAGACCATAGTGTATTTAATCGTTCTGAGTTACATTTAAGTATTAACGCAGAAGAACCTTGATCTCGTTACGACGACTCGCGATGCCTCGCGCGTCCTACCAAGTTCGCATCACCCATCGTCGTCACCGTGTCCGATATCTTCTGGAGTCCTCCAACAGGATCACATGGGCGTATCCGAGGACCGCGAGAGTTAATTAAAATGCGAGACCTGAACGCCACCGCATGCGCTGCTTTGTACGACGGCGTCGAATGGTCAAGTCTGTGGAACGTGATTACCCTAATCGTTCTGGCGATCATCGATGTCATGGTGGTGGTAGGTAATGTCCTAGTCATTCTGGCCGTCTATTGTACCAGCAAGCTGAGAAACGTGACGAATATGTTCATCGTAAGCCTGGCAGTTGCCGATCTGATGGTCGGCGTCGCTGTCCTACCGTTCAGCGCAACTTGGGAGGTCTATAAGGTAAGATCTTTTTTCACTACGTTAATTGGCAGTAGAATAATAAATAGATAGAGGAAGGTCACCGATACTGATGTGTCATTTCATATTTAAATATTTCTCAGAAACAGAAGCTAAAAATAAAACTTTAAAACATAATTACAAACTAGAAAAATTGTCTACTATCAGGTAACTACTGTTTGCAATTTTGCAATAATTAACTTTTTTGTAAGATAAGCAAAAATAAGCGTCTAACAAAATGGGTCCCAAAACTGACGCAGTAAATAACAATGCCATATATTCCTGTTCTTTTACTTTCACAGAAAGGAATCATTCATACAAAATACTTACAAGTGAATGTATAATATAAGATTTTCTTTACTCTTTAGAGACTTTATAAGAGAATCTTTTTACTTTGATATAAAACGATTTTTGATTTGTATATATTTTATGCTATTCTGCAAATATATAATGCGACAGCTTCTTTAAGATTTGTTTTTGTAAATACACGATTATCTTGAACTTCGATAGAGCTACTTGACACTATAACGCAAGATATAATGGGCTTTTTACCATGAGTTATTACCTAAACTTTAAGTCTTAGGCCGTAAAAAATTAACCAATTATAATTGATTATTCTTCTCACATTCGACTGTAACTAGTTTCTTACGGTTTAAGACTTAAAGTTTAAGTAATGACTTATTATAAAATGTGCGTATAGATTAAATTAGCTTATGGTCTTATCTTGCAGACAGGTGTGCCGGTTTATGCTACCCCTATTTATATATAAAATCATATGAAAAAATGTAAAAGAAAAAATATAATAAAACTGATTTGGGAAATTACAAATATGTAAGACAAATATGTAATATCATCAATAATATAATTACTATTATTTAAATTACGCAATTTGCAAAAGAAAATCATAAATATTCTATTTTTTTGCACTTGTAGAATTTTTAACTAATTTTGTGTAAAAATAAGCTACAAATATATAAATTATAAGTTTTACTTTTTTAATTATCTAAATAGATTATGTTTTTATCAGTAATAAATATAATAATTAGCTTCTTTAGCAAGAAATAAAGAGCTGTCTTTTTAGAAGATTTATGTCAATACTGACAACTTTCTTCTATTAAAAGTGAAAACAGAGAATTAAGATACATTGAGATTAAAAGATTTGGCACACTATGTAGACCTATATATACCTTTATTTATTTATATTTATATATGTGTATACATATATTTATACAGGATGTTTCCGGGTTAAAATATGAATTTAGGATTTCAAACAAATAAAATTTTCCTCTGGTAATTTGCTAGCAAACGTTTCGTTTAAAAGGTATTAAGTTACAAAATTATATAAGGAATAAATAATGTCGAAATAATCTCTAAATTTATTACTTTGCAATAATCAAAATGTAATTATTAAAAGTTTTGTTCAAAATAATAGCCTCCAACTCTGAGACAGTTAATGCACTTACATTAATTGCACTTATCGATGAGAGAACAAATGGCTGACTGACATTGTGTGTGTGTGTGTGTGTGTGTATATATATATATATAAATTTCTTCGCACGCTTGCATCTTCCGCTTTAATAACTGAAAATCATTAATGAGTACTTCATACAAATCCAAGAGATATTTCAATATCATTCATTTTCTATCATACTGTAACCTAAGATATTAATATCTCTTAAATTTAAACGAAGCGTTTGCGAGCAAACTTCAAGAGGAAAATGTTGTTTGTTTTGAATTCCTGAATTCATATTTTATGTTTGGTAGTTTAACCCAATAAAACACACACACACACACACACACACATACACTGTATGTTGCTTTGTATATCGCTCTTTTGCTACACAATAAGACATAACTCTAAAAACAAAATTTTTCAGATAATAAGTTTGAATGTATTGAAGTTTTAAATCGTTAAAATTTTGTAATTAGTATTGATTTTAATGCAATTTTGATGTAATTATTGATTATAACGAAATATAATTATATGTTTTCTAAAAATACTTTTTTCTTTATGTTTTTAAGTTATTAAATTATGTCGTTGCTGTAACAAATAACAATATATTTTTGCTACAAATATGTGTTATACGTATTATATATTTCTAATAAAAATAAATTATAAAAAGTAATAAAAAATAATCAACAAAAAATGTTTGATAAAAATTATCTGTTGCATCATAAAAATTTGATCGCACTTTATTAAAGCAGCACATTACGTTTTGCGCTTTATATTGACCTATCAGTGCATCTTGAACAGCATTTATTTTGTTGCAATCAATAGTGCATTTTTTTATACAACAGTGAGGTACAATAGGATCAATTGTAACGGCATTATTACGTAGCGATACGACAAGTTGTCTACCAGCAAAGTTTCATCCATTGGACGTTCACTAACCCACGGTTTTCGACAGAATCGATTTACCGAATTCTGTCTCACGCAATATCCGCTTGTTGTCACAAGCGAGGTGTATTTTATGGGGGATGGGTTGTGCACTGTTTACAAAAAATATTACTATTCCGAAACGTACGCGAATGTATTCGAAAGCACAAATATCTCTGGTATTTGAAGTTGGTTTTTTTTAATTTTAATTTCAGAATTACACAATTTAAGAAATGTTTAACAAATAATTCATTTTATTATTTTTTCGATAGTTGTTTATCTCTGCAGTATATAATATTTCTTGTCTCTGTTATTTAACATTTATTGCAAAATATATGTTTCTGTGTTACAAAATGATTTTTTCGAAAAATTTTCTATTATTTTCTAATCATAATTAAAATATTTTTATACACAAAATATATTATATTTACACACAAAATATATTTTTTATTAAAAATAAGTCATCTCTTATGAAGAAAATAATATTTCCAAAGCACAATTTTCTTTTTCTTTCCGAGAATGTTATATTCTTAATCACAAAACACATTCTTGTTCTTATCTCGCTCATCTTTTTCTCGACGTGGTAATTCTTTCGACATATCTCTCAGGGACTCATTGTACTATTCCTTTGAGCATTCACTTTTTTCTAATACGATTAAAAGTATCGCGCGGTGGAAGAAACGTGCAGTAAAACGGCGATACATTTTATCCTGAACGAGTTGTACCGGTTTAAGTGTGATTCACGGAGAATGCAACAGTTTGTTGGCTTTTCCCTTTGGTCCTTCCAACCTGAATTTTCGTGCCTGCAATATTTACGTGTACGCGAATGTTCACCGAGAACCTGGAAACGGGTCGGTGGGCAGTGGATGGAGTATAGAAGTGGTGTGAATCTCAGTAGCTCAAGCCGAGAATATGGTGCTCCATTTAACTGGAGTTTACACGACATAGCACAAGTTAGTTCACCGTGCACTTATCACGATACGACTTTTTCTTCGAAGAGTCTTTCTTCCTTCTTGCCTCTTTCTTCCGGAGGAATTGGTCAAGTGACGCGGCATAGATCGTCTTCGCAGTGCAAAAAGAAAAAAAAACAACAATGAGCATCTTTGTTGTAAAGATTGCGTAGTATATTTTATAATTTATATATTTTAATAGACAAATAATTTAATTGTTAGAACTTCGTTCGGGCAGACCAAAACTGGATATCGATCGCTATACGTTAGTAAGATACAGTAATACTGGATACACTGAGGCCCGGTTGCACCAACGTTGCTTTGATTTTAAGCAAGATTTAAAACTCTCTTCGTCTCGTTTTAAAGCGAAAGAGAGAGACAGAGACAGAGTTTTAAGCCTTACTTAAAGTCAAAGTAACGTTGGTGCAATTGAGCCTAAATAAGAAATGAACACACAATGTAGGTCTAAAACATCGACTTCTTGAAAATGTACTTAATGCATAGACTTGCAGTTGAATACTAAATAAAGATAGATGTCGGAATATTGAAAAGGAAAAGTACATATTGGAATTCTTAGTATTGAGTTAGTTTGTATTAATATTAATCAGAAAATATTAATCTTAAGGGAAAAAATATTAAGATTATGAAAAAAAAAGTATATGTTATGATAATTTAATTTTGTTCCTGACATTTTCCCAAAATTAAACGCCTCGAGACATCGTTTAATTAATTTACCACGGGTATGCTGGAATGTATCTGTATGTGCTGTCTACTAATTACGTGACATAAAATTGGTTTTAATTAAATAATGTACTATTAGGCGAGTTTGAGAGCGAAGATAGAACGGAGCTATAGAGAGGTATATACTACTATATATGTATACATATTTTTATATTCTTATACAACTGTAGTCATGTGAATAATAATAAATAATTAATAATAGATTTTTTTCTTTGCCAATTAATTACTAATAGTAAGCGCAACTCGAGATTGTATTGAATATTTTAAAATTTATTAATATAGAATAATAAGAAGAATATTATTTATACATTTACAATTCCGCTTTTCGTATATTTTTAAATTTTATTTTTTATATTATCGTATATAATTTTTTAATTTGATCAGTAAAATCATCTTTTGTTCAAAGAAATTTCTTTTTTTAATTGCAATTATTATCAGTCAAAAAGCATTCTCGAAAGTGAAATGTTTCTCCATTATTCGATAAATATGGCAAAATATGGGAAAGAACGAGCGATCAGTAAATTTTAAGAAATTAGTAAACGAGAATGGGAGATTCCATTTAATAGCAATTTATTGATGACCGTGTACAGTCATAGCTGCAATAATCTGATTGTAAATAATGAAGGTTAATTACTGAATTCCGATATTGGTAACACGCGTAACGCTGGCTAATTCTGAACAGGTGGTTGTAGTACTGTAGAGGTGTGCGCGGTTGTATTGCTCGTCATAATGCGGATGCGTTATGCGTACAACGCGGACGTACAGATGCACGCATGTCGCACGCAGTAGATGGGATTCCATTATATGTGGTTACATCGTGAATCATTGTCCGACTTGAATGGGAATTGATTCGACGATTGATATGTGCCTCGCGTCTTATCTACTCGCTGGATTTTGTGAATTATCAGATATGCATCACTGTCACATGCATGAACTGTCTGCTCATCTGCGATAAGCTTTATCCTATTTAATACGATGGATAGGTTATTTTTGCTTCAATTTCGAGATATGTTCCATTTAACAATTCAATTTTTCACATATATCCGGTGAATGAAGCTACTGTATTACAATAAAATTAATTTTTTTGATTATATTTCAAGTAAAATAACATTCAGAGAAAAAGATAGTAGTAGCAACTGTAAAAGTAACAGTTATACAAGTTTTATATGCACACCACACACAAAATTATTATATATATTATAAACTAATGTACATATATATAGTGGAATAAATTATTTTATATTTACAATAATTATAAAATAGTTTATTCAATTATGTGCGTGCGAGCGTGCGTGCGTGCGTATATACATTGATTTTACATATAAAACTTACACAGTTGTCGCCTTACAGTTAATCAACATTTCGTCTTTTTTCTAAGTAAATAAGTGAGATTTTGTCACTATTTGCGCTAAAAAATGAAAGATTCTTCGTCACTGACGTTTTGTGTTAAACGTATTTCTTTTGAACGTGTTTCTCTCAAAAGGTTTGGATATACGGAAATCTTTGGTGCTCCGTGTGGCTTGCGGTCGACGTTTGGATGTGCACGGCGTCGATATTGAACTTATGCGCCATCAGCTTGGATAGATACTTGGCTGTGACCAGACCAGTCAGTTATCCTCAGGCAAGTACCACTCAGCATGGGAATGATTATCCTAAGGAGATCAGAAGCGCATTACGCGTCAATTTCGTCACTTAGTTCAACGCGTTTGTTCAATGATAATATTCCTTGTTGATTAACGACAATCACAAAATGATATAAGCTGCATAACCATAGCTTAAGGCCGCTGAATCAATAAACATCTAACATAAAGACTTATGCTAATTTACATAAGATGTTTATTAGTTTAGGGAGCCTTGCTATGGTTATTCAGCTTATGTAATTTTGTGTGTGATGGACACCTAACACTGAAACAAAAGACACACTGAAATGAAATGAAATGAAAAAGAAGTTCTGTAGAGTTAACTTCTGTAAGCTAACAATAAAATCTTAGAATAAAGATCAGGGCAGACTTTTGCATAACGCATAATTCATAAAACATAAGAAAATCGAGCAATCAAAGTTTTTATTTCATGGAAAGGAAGGAAATGAAGGACTTAGGTTGATTCATTTTCTTATGCATTATGCGTTTTGCGTTATGCAAGACTGTGTTCCCGCCCTTACTTTTAAATTTTTAGATTTGCTGTTCGAAGTATTTTATTTGCAATACTCAATTTCAGATGCATTGATTTTTCATATTTTAGAAAATTGAACTAATAATAAAATGAGAAGTATAAACTCGTGCGCATCGAAAAATAAAGAGAATGAAGTGAATATAAGTGAAGAAATGTGAATTTCCTCTTCAAAAGGGGGAATGCAATATATCGACTAATCGCATTAAGTTATCTATGCAATTATCGCGTCCCTGATTTTCTCGTTAATTGCTTCTTTTTTCTCCATTTCCATAAATCTAGCTTATGTCGACGAAGAGGGCTAGACTGCTGGTGGCCACCGTTTGGGTTTCAAGCTTCGTTATCTGTTTTCCGCCTCTAGTGGGCTGGAAGGACAAACGGGTGCGTACTAGCCACTAATCCGCCTTCGCGCTATTATTTCCGGACGATTTTCAATCGACGTCTGATCGACCCTGGCCGGATTTAGTCTGCACGCGTTTTTAATCGCTTCTCTGTTCTCGTAGTCGCATACCACGTACAATGACACGTTTCCTCTATATGGCCCGTCCAACACCACTACTATACTTGTGCCGATGAAACCATGTCCATGGATCTGCGAACTGACCAACGACGCCGGCTACGTCGTTTACAGGTAAGTCCCTCAAAGACCCTTGGCTTCTCATTATATACATATTGGATTATGTCGCGTAATATTAATAGCGAGAAATTTACATAGATACTTTTTTCTTTGCTTTATATATCGGGATATATTACCTTTTTATTATCCAGTTAAATACCAGAGTGCCGTAAAAATTGCAAAATATGTCAGGAAAAATTCTTTTAATGTTTTTCCTGCATTAAACAGATGTTATTCAATTTATCGATGTAAAATTAATTTTAACATACGTTGTAGAATCAAAATACAGAATAAAAATCATTTTAAATGATATCTTTTTATTTAGATATATAAAAATATATATATATATATATAAAACAATCTGTATTATATAATAACAAAATTTATATAAACATATATATATATATATACATATATAACAAAATATATGCAATTAAATTTTTCATATAATAGTACATGTATTAATACCTAACACGTATTAAAATCTGAAAATTTACATAATATTGAGATAATTTTGAAGACAACCATTTCGCCAATTAAAGACCTTAATTTTGAAGCAGACAATTTTCACAAGATAGAAACATTCTCTTTTTGTGAATGAATCACTCCTGACATTTTCATCTTTGTTTTAAAAATGGATAAACCACTCAAAAAATCGTAGAATTATATTATAACCACACTACTATTATACAACATTAACTCTAAATTATAAATTTGAAACAATTAAATAAAACTCTATCTACAAAGGCAATAAGCTTAACATATTGTTAGTGCGATAATTTAATTTATTTATCCAAATCAAATTACAAATATATATTCCATACGTTTCAAAATCATTGTGAGAATCGAATCGTATGGAATACATGTAATTTGATTTGGATAAATAAATTAGATTGTCGCATTAACAACATGCTAGGCTCATTGCTCTTGTATAGACTTTTATTTAATTATTTATTTGTTCGAGCTTTAGGAGGCTTTGTTAATTTTTAAATCTAAAATTTGATTTATTATTATAAAACTATCAATAATAATAGTTTTAGATTAAAATATGTAAAATTTTCTAGCTTGAGATTGCTAAGCAAAAATTAATAAATAGAAAGCTAAAAAAACAGAGATAAAACAGTTTTATTTCTGTCACCGTATTATATACGTCAATCAGGATGTTATCTATATACGCATTATACGATACCAATCAAAAAGCTAATATATAAAAACGACTAATATATATAAACTAATATATATAAACGACTGACATGTTTTGAGTGCTTGCCAGTGACACGTGTTTCTCGATTGGATCTTGTCCATTATTAAAACCAATGGCTAAATTAATATTCTCGATAATATATAGTCTCATCTATGTATGTATATCAAACTACACGAGCTGACTACACGTAAAAGTGTCCGATATGTTATCGCGAAGTGGGAAACTACGATTATCAACAGTATGACAGGAAATCACAATCGCAACTGTGTTGCAGTGCTCTAGGCTCCTTCTATATACCAATGCTGGTGATGCTATTTTTTTATTGGCGGATCTACAACGCCGCAGTTTCCACGACGAGAGCTATTAATCAAGGTTTTCGAACAACAAAAGCCTCGAAAATGCTTGGCAGCAGGTAAACTTCCGTGTCAGTTTTTTTTTTCAAAACTTCCGTTTACTTGACTAAATTTATTTTTTATAATTTTACAATTCATTTTTATCACACATTTATTTGTGTTGCTTTTGTGCGATCGATAATAAATATTGTAAATATTGATCATCTTACATCGATTACCTCGTTAATCGAGCATTCATATAATTTTAAAAAGTTTATATTAAGTTTAACATTTTTTGTCTCAAACGATCCATCCAAATAGTTTTTGTGTTATGCAGTTTAGCACAAGATGAATATATTAGAACGCAAACATTATGTAAAAATTAACATTAAAAAAATGTAACACTTAGATACAATTTATATATACAAATTATAAATTAAAAATAAATTATAGAAATATATTTTTCTTCAATAAAATTATATTTATATATGTTACTTTTTCAATAAATTAATACATTCATCTTTTACTTATTTATCTTAGAATTTATGCTTTACTGTATAATCTTTTTATTTGTTCACTTACTTGTAAATCGTATTATTTTAAGAACTATTAAACATTAATTTAACACTATATATGTTAAAAATTTAATATAAAAATTTTTATAAAGACCAGTTTTAACACAAATACAAAACGATTTTTACTGTATATCTTATCAGATGCTAATTATTCTATCAATATATAATTTTTTAATATTATATTTATATAAATCAAATCATCATCTTTTATTATCATTTCCTTTTAATAAAATGGCACTGCAAATAAAATTTCCTACATTTAAATATGTTTTCCACTTTTTGTTCTTTCGAATCGTCGTTTCATTCGCGGGTCTGCGGTTGAGCTTCTTCTCCGCGAAAGAAAGGAAGTTTTTTTTATAGAAGCTTTCAACCAACAGGCATAAATGCCTATGCAAGAACACAACGCATTTTCCTATTCTTATGTAGGTTCGACGAACAAAGACTGACCTTACGAATTCACCGTGGTCGAGGTAGCGTCCATAACGGCAGTAATAACGGCAATTCAAGAAGTCCGGACTCGAGCAGCCGCAGCTCCGTGAAGCGAGAAAAGATCAAGATCTCAGTCTCCTATCCCAGCACCGAGACGCTCAACACGAAGTGCAACACCCTCGAAAGGACACCGTCGAGATGTTCGCAAATCTCGGTCCATTATAGCAACGGACAGACGCAGACGCAGCTTTGTCCAGCCTCGCGAAACACGCATCTTAAGGTGAATCATTAGATCTTAATGAGTTCCATTTACATGACCTACCTGAGGATGTAATTAACTGCTTCAGATGCACGAATCCCTTTTTAATTTTCCGACCTTGTTCTTTTTTAAGAAATGATGTGTTTTACTCCTTCAAGATTACATTCTTAACGTATAATTATATTATTTTTATATCATAGAAACTATTTCGAACTATGTTAGAGATTTATATATTTTTTATTACTATATAATTATAATATAATAACACAAGTTTGATCGAAAGATAGAATCTACGGCTCTCCGTTGGAAGTGATGTTGGATGTGCGTAAATTTCACGTTCCAGCACCATATTCCTAGTGACATGTTGTCGCTGCAATTTTAAGTGCATATGCTTTTTATTGATGATTAATCGATAGCATTTTGCAAAATGAAACGAATCAAGGATCACTTTTTCGTTCAATAAAACCGAAGCACTCGTTCGATCGAACGTGGCTATTGAGCCGTATAAATTCACTCTTTTTCCTCTTTTCCCTCGCTGTTTTGTTTCACGAGGATCTCTAAGCTTTTATTTGCCGTTTAAATCGTCGATCGTGATTATTCTCCCGCATGTGAGTCGGTATCGTGCGGATTTACAGACGGATAAAACGAAACAGGATATGGACACGTACCTGTTTTGTTGATGGCTTTCATGTCATCCGTAATCGTTGGTATCGATAAATATATATATATATGTATGTGTGTCTGTCTGTGTGTGTGTGTGTGTGTGTGTGTGTGTGTGTGTGTGTGTATACCTATATGAATATATATTATATATATTCTAGGAAGAAATAGAGATATATTCATTTTTATTTTGACAGACGTGGATAACTTATCAGAGATATCATGCTATTTTTATAAATAAGTATGAACTAAATTCCCCTTTAGAATTCTAATATATTGTCGAGAATAAAGATCTGTAAACAATAGGGATAAAATAATGACATATCTCTATGCTTGCATCTAATTGTAAGTATGAATAATTAAATTTCAATTTCTGGCAGAGAACACGGAAAAAATGGTTTTGTTAAAAGATTTATAAATTTAGCTAGATACAAATCTGAAAATAATTTCATTAGATCATCAAAATAATTATGTAGGACGCACAAGCCGATTGCTACACTGTTAAATTCATAATCTCAAATTATATCCAATTTGAGTTGTTGTTAATTATTTCTCTAGGTTGCCACTCCTACTCAATATGTCGTTAATTTAATCGAAATTGTGGAGTTAAATAATTTAACTCAAGGAATTGTAGATATTAAATTCAACTCAGATTTAGTTTATTGTTTACTATAAATGCACATATGTTAATAGGGACGTTGTTTATTTTGAAACTAACCGAAAAAATGGATTGATTTACATGTTGACATAAATTAAATAAAAGTTAATAAAATAATAAAATATTATTTAATTTTTGGCATTATTATTGTTGCTTTGATATTTAACAATGCAAGAGATCAAAACTTTTTAGAATATTATCTATTATATACATCTTACGCATTTATTTTGATAGTCGAATAACAAATTATTTCCAGATCTATATATATATTTGGTTAAATTTTTAAATGCTTCAGCAAAGTCACTGTTTCTGTGTATAAATCACATTGCACAGTAGTTATCTGTTTCATGTTTCGTCCGTAAAAAAATGCGGGATATCAAATTTTCAGCTCAATATGATCGCGTATTGCTATAGCGAGCTTTTGACAACAGTCTGGATGGTTGCTCGCGTTCGTCATGAAAGTTTTACGGCGTCTGTAAATCTCGCGCGAAAGTGAATCTGTATTTTATAGGCGCACGTGATGTTTACGTGAGTGTGTGCGTGTGTCGGAGTCGTAAAGGCCGACTTGTTAAATCCCCTTTCAGGTCGGTGGTGTCAATAGGGTCGGCAGCAGCAAAAGAACAAGCAGGCGAAGCAGCTGCGAGAGTCACGTGACCGGCGACGAGTTGTCGCTGCGCGAGATGACGCCGAGCAACGAGGAGAAGCCGCGAGTGATGAAGCTGGGCAAGAGAAACATAAAAGCCCAAGTGCGTTTCTCATGTCGGCTCGTTTTTATCGCTTTCACACTTTGGCTATCGGACCTATTTTTCAAATGTTCCATAAAAACGAACAAGCAACATCCGATAGTTTCGTAAAACTTCATATGACGGAAATTCATTTTTATCTCAGTCGACGTAGTGATAAGTCGATTACTGTCAGAATTAATTTATACTGCGTAGACTTAATGATCAAAATATGAATGCATATTATAAAAGAGATAACATACTGTTTGTTGAAAGCAGAGTGCAAAGTTAACATCTTCCTCACTGTTAAATATTAAAAGATCAAATTTAAACTAATTTCTTAAGTTAAAAAGCATTTTGTTATTTTGAACTTCCAAAGTGTATAAAATGTATATGATTTTAATACAAAATATACGGTTAAAGAAACAATCTAATAATAGAAATATCTAATAATTCATTTCTATGGTTGAATCGCTTTCAAAAGCAGTGGCATTCGTATTAAGGCATGCATCAGTAAATAATAAACTAAATTTGAATCAAATTTACATTTCTTAAATTAAGTTGTTTAAATTATATTTTAGTTAAATTAGTTTTAATTAAATTAAGAACATACTAAGTGGGAGTACTGGCGGCTTATAATAATTATTAAAAATGATTCAATTGTTATAATTTGACTGAATTATAATTTGTCCACTTTGTTAAAAGTAAACATTAATTTCAAATTAATTTTATTATGATATTTTATTATAATACGCATTCATGTTTTAACGGAGTAAAGGATATTTAAAATATGTCGGATGCCTCGATATTTGAGACAAAATTATACGCAGGTGAAGAGATTTCGCATGGAAACGAAGGCGGCGAAGACCTTGGGTATCATCGTCGGCGGCTTCATCTTGTGCTGGCTGCCTTTCTTCACCATGTATCTGGTGCGCGCGTTCTGTCCGAATCACATCCATCCAACCGTCTTCAGCGTACTGTTTTGGCTAGGATACTGCAATTCCGCGATAAATCCGTGTATCTATGCCCTCTTCAGCAGGGACTTCCGCTTCGCTTTCAAGAGAATCATCTGCTGCAAGTGCTCCTGCATACAACGCGCCAACACCTTGCGACGTGGCAGTGACGGCAGTCAATTGGCAATGAGGTCAGTGTTACAATTTGTATTACAAAATGAATGCATTCTGCTATTTAATTTTGCAAGCACGTATAAAGGAGACATTTAAATTGGAATTGCGATTTGTATAACAAAATGCGTGAAGCGGCATTGCATTCTACGGTCTATTTTTTACGCGAATTTTGCCTCGTAAAAGAGCAGAAGTTTAAAAGAACTAATCATTTCGTCTATGTTTTAAATTTAAGATTTAAATTTAGAAAATTTATTATGTCAATATTATGGCGTATCCATCCGATTATCATCCATATCTGTTGAATTTAAATGTAAAGGAAGTTTTAGAAATACGGTCTACATAAAAATTCTTAAATTTCATCACGTTTTATGTACCGTAAACGGTGATATATATCATCAAGTTCTATATGGCGACCAAATATTTTCATGAAAGTATTTTCCCTGGATTATATAATGCGCGATAAATTCGGTGGCTCGGTTCTAAAATAACTAATTTTGGTTAAATCGAGTTGAAGACTATGCTTTCTGCTTTGAATACATTTTTTTAAACTTTAAACTCTAATTAGCTCGAGAGAGGATATTGCTGTTTTGTAAGAAATCCACAGAATGATATTCGCACCACCGGCATGTCTCACGGGAACGATTCTGCGTGTGTTCTCGTAGGAACGAACGAAGTCCGAGTTACTCGATTCGCACGACTCAGCACGGGACCTCCATCGACGACTCGGATCCGGATCCGTCATTGGAGGCGAGCCATTCGCAGAGTGAGTCCAGATGATTGTAGCGACACGTCCGAGCTGGTACGCAGCGCGTCACCTTCAATCCCCGATCCTCGAAAGCGAGGATATTCTCATTCTGATGATGGCAGTGCTCCGAGAGCCGCGCTCGACACTTCCTCGCGGCCCTCTCTTACTATCGTAACGATGAAGTCGCGGCCACTTTGACGCTTAGTGTGCCAACGTAAATCAGTTTCTCTATTCTACCAGACTAATGTTGCGTCAGCAGTTCTCGTAAATTAGAACACTCGGGTGAAGCTGGAAACTTCCAGACTCTATCCCCGTCTCACCGCGAATGTACGAAATCGGTAGGTGAGTAACAGTCAGATAACAAGCGACAAGTAGACGGGAGAGTAACATGCCACTTGCTTAACTTGTCTTGTTACTCCATCGTCGAAAAGAAAAAAAAACCGATGCTTAGCTTGTCTACGTATAATCTCGCTACAATGGCGGCTTTACGCCAGGTCAACGGGGCTGTAATACTCGGGTAGTTTCTTGAGTGAGGCGAGCAAATAATTTACTGCTTGATCTGCTCCCTTGCTAAATCGCGTGATCTCGTAAGAATTTACACAAAGTCAGCAGAGAGGTAAGTCAAGCAGAGGATTGCGCTTTCCTCGCTATTTTTTTTTTGTCATCTACCGTTGGAGGGAAAGGAAAAACAAAGAAAAAGGAAAGCAAGCTAGATGCTGTGCGATTTGCCTTTGCACTGTAATTGCGGCGAGGTCGACGAAAACGAAGTACCAGGTGGAGCTTTGCGATACGCGTCTACGCGGAATTGGATTTCAGCACGATAGACCTAGAACGCGGCACTTCATCTGTAAGAAACGAAAGAAAAAGAAGAAAAGGAAAAATCGACTTCCCTACGCGGATCTTGTAGGAACGTGCTTCCTCGCGATAATCTACGCTTCGATTTGTACTTTTGGGCTACGCGAGAAGCTTCGCATGCGGTTTACCCTTCATAAACGACCGTCTTCTTGCGTCCGGTAGACGCAATAAATTATCCGACGTAATTATGATGAATTCGGTCATTCACTGGTTAGTGCACATTTAAAAAAAGGCTGCTTTATATAAAGTATCTAAATGCATTGGTATTTAATACAATCAACTTTGATAATGAGATAATACGTGTATATTCTGTTAAATAACGTAATATCATTATTGGATATTTAATTGTTCAAAATCATGTACAGCAGCTTTTAGTGTGCATTAATCTAATGTAATGTAAATGATCGAATTTGCTATTAGTATATACGTTACATGTGCCCCGCGCAGATCACCGGAGGATGATCGGTCGTTTACTATACCTGGAGATGATAACCTCCAATAATTTCGAATAATATGTATGCAATCGGTGTGCCTTCTTTCGTCATCCCCGTAGTAGAGTGCACTACCGTTTTCGCGACGAGAGAAAATTATCCGCTCTCTGTTCTTCCAGACGCACAGAGTCGTTTTGCAATGTTATTTATTTGTTTCGATATATGCGCGATTATTCGCGCAAGTGAATTATTTCGTGCGGACGATCGGATCGGCCGATCGACTCCTATAATTCATCTTGATCGTCCGCAACGTTTGCGTGAGAAGAATATATCATTTTGATGAAGTATTTAAAAGTTTAATTAGATACAGATAATCAAAATAATTTTGTTAAACCATCAAAATAATTACGTATACCATTGGAAAATTTATGTCAACATATTTCACACATTCCAAACGGTCGACTTAATTTTATCTATTCATTTAACACAAGATGAATATATTCTTAAATAATATTGTAACACAAATATTGTAACATAAATATTATTTAAGAATATAAATACAAAAAAAATAATACAGTTTGTAAATAAATCATAGAAACATATAATATTTTTTTCAGTAAAATTAATATTTGTGATATATTAAACTAACACATATTTATTCATCTTAGAATTTATGTTTTAAAACTAAATTGTGTTATATTTTGACACTAAGAAATATTGAATATCAATTTAACGCAAACTATTTAAACATAATTTAACAACATAATCATTTAAATAACATAATTGTGTTAAATTAATACTCGAACATGGTAAAAAAAATTCAACGCAAAAGTTTAACAAGGAGTGATTGATTGGACTGTTTCCAACACGAGATATTTTTACTGTGTAGAAATCTCAAGCAATACTGCAAAAAATTTAACATTTTAGCCAGTTTGAGCGTTTTATATAATATAATTATTTTGATGAGTCAACAAAATTATTTTTAGAATTGTATCTAAATCTAAATTTTTATATATTTTAACAAAACTGTCCTTTCCATATGTCTGTGTGTGTGTGTGTGTTTGTATGTGTGATTGCGCCACGCATTCATCCTATGTCGCTATCGAAGATTTGCACATTGAGAAATTGAGAATCATCACGAAATAATTCTCAAGCCGGGAAAGAAAGTAGAAGTTGGACAATCGGCACGCGTCCGATCGGGAACAAGCGTCTGACAGACACAACGACAAACATAACGCAGACCTTCTGCGTACATATCGATATCTATGTGTGCGCAACAACACGCTAAGTATGTCGTTATATCTTCTATATGAACCGATATTCACGTGCACGTTCGCATAAATCGACGTTTCTCCTTCCCTCTCCCCTTCCCCTCCATTCTCTCCATCTTTCTTCTTTTATTCATTCCAGCGATTCTCCGAAATGCATCTGAAATAAGATCGCAACTCTTTGCTGCCATTGATCTATATGTTTCTTTTTATCCCGCGTGTATCAATTGTACGGCAAACATTTGCACCACGTCGTCATCGCCGCGCATGCAAAATGCACATGTATTACTTTGTACAATGGAGCAATGTCGCGATATTGTGCTGGCCGACGCCACGTCTTAAGAAAAATTCGACGTCTCGTCCTCACGGAACCTTCCGGATTTATTCTCCCTTCTGATCGCTGTCATAGCTTTGCGCAACTGTAATTCAACAGAGACGGCGAGACGACCGATCAGTTTAAAGAAAAAAATTGCGTGATTCATGTATTATGTGATATCGTATAAATAAGTAAAAAAGTATCACGGATGGAAATAAATATGAGTATAAACAAATCCGTGGTCTTCCACAATTTGTATTACATACGCTCGGAAATTCAAGCGGCACAGCACGACTCGTTTTACGGTATGTATTAAATCAATACTACTAAAAATTAAAAAAAAAGAAAGAATACCAGAATTCTCTGTTTTATAACATCGTATAATTTTTTTAGATATATCCAATTATCTAAAAAATAATTGTTTATATATATCGCTAAAGTTTACCCTCAATTAAGAGTATTTTCTGTAATTACGTATGATTATCGGGAACACAATCTATCCCTCCCCTCCCTCCTCCCTCTCTCCGTGAATATTCCTTTCTAGATTTTAAAATTACGTCTGGAAGTAATTGAGTTATTATAATTACTCACTACTGCAGGTGACTTATAAAATATTCATGATATACAAACGAGTTACAAACCATACTTCTACAATTGAGCATTTCGATTCAGTGATTATTTTATTAAGTTTTGTTATGTTTCCCTCGCTGCTCTGGGTCTTCCGTCGGGATCCTAATTTGCGTCCCGTACAACTCGATCTGAATCTCCTCGAAGCTTCTGCCCTTCGTTTCTGGCACCATCACAGAGACAAATATGGTTCCGATTAAACTTATCATGCCGAATGCAGCGAATGACGAGGAGATTCCCATGAGATTCACCATGTCCTGAAAGCACTTTGTCACGAGAAAGGCCAACGTCCAGTTACACATCACGGCAATGTTTGCCACGCTCTTCACGTTGTTTGTGAACAACTCACCGACCATCAACCATGGTACGGGAGCAAAGCCGATACTGAAAATTACGATGAATACTGCGAACGAGAGCAGAGGGATCCAGGAGAAGCTCGAAAGATCGTGAGAGCTCTGAAACAACCGAGAGAAGAGCAAATCAATCTAATTAAGAAATTTCAATGTAGAAATATGAAATTAAATACAAACCGATATACAATTAAAAATTACTATTGATGATCATTAATATTTTTAATCAAATATTTAGAGAATTACAAATTTGTAATTAAAATTTTTATTGATATTAATTAATATCTTGTTACCTGGAAACGAAAATATCCTGACATTGTGAACATACAAACTGCCATCACTGACGCACTGATGAATAATAATAGCTTTCTGCCGACGCGCTCAATCAAAACGGTTGAAAAATAGGTACCAATCACTTGTACGACGCCTATTATTACTGATGACGTAGATGAGTTCAGAATTGAGCCTGCATCGTCGAAAATCTTTTTTGCGTAGAATATCAGAATATTAACACCGGAGAGTTGTTGGAAAAACATTAGACCTAATCATTAAACATTGAATTAAAGCTAACATAATATATGTTTCTGTAATATACTTAAACAAAATTAGATAAAGTTGATATAAAATTAATAGAATAATTATTTATTGCAATAAAAACATTCAGTAATCGATTTAATTCGCAACTAATTACTAATTAAACTAAATCTTTTACCGAGTATAATGTAGGTCGCTTTTTGATAATTTTTCAAATCCGAAATATTGGGTTTGATTTCTCGCATTTCTGAGGCCTGAAACTCGAGCCTGGTCAATTCCGCTTCAGTGCTATAACGAATTCCCCTCAAGTGTTTTAGCACAATATTTGCCTCGTTCTTCTGACCCTGCATAACCAGCCATGCTGGTGATTCCGGTACGAATGGGAAGAAAATCAAAAGCAAAGCGGGCGCCACGGAACAAAGTATCGCGATGACATGCAAGCTATCGGTAAAAGCTGCAAACGTCACCGCTTATCATTTCAGGAAAGTTATACAGTTGTGTGTAACAACTAGAATTCTCGCGACTTCAAGTTCATCTATCATTACAAATACCTTCAAACTATGTACAGTAAAGTCAAGTTTTTTATAATGACATCTTCCTTTAATACTCTGTGTCATTATCTGATATTACATGTTTAAATGAAGAGCTATGTTTGCATATTGCAGTAAACTAAAACTGAAAAAAGCGAATATTCAACTAAATAATTTTTTATAAAGCTTTTTTATTATTAATGTTAATAGTTTTACATCAGTTTTGCCAATCAATATATATCATTGATATAATAAAATATATACATTCGAGAAAACAATATACATTTTAATCAATGTGCCTCTGACTTTAATTGTAGATTTTAGATGCTTTCCAGCAACGAAACGCAATAATGTCAACTTATAACTGAAACGTTGCTTAGCTTTTTTATTTCATTGCCAGAGTGAAATAAAAACAAAGATTTTGTATACCTACGTCCGAATATATTTGAATGTAATCTTAAAACCTCTTATCAGAGTATCATTTCTAGAAAAATAAATGGTAATAAAATGTAAAAATTTCGTATTCGTAAAGTAACATAAAAGAACGACACAGCATTTTAGCTACGTACGTTTGTGTCAGTTGAAAAGCACGGAATTGTATACTGTGTTACATAATGTTGTTGGAAAGGATTGTGGAGTATCAAAAACATGGCACATATCATAAAATTATCCAATGTTATATTTAGAAAAGTGCTTCCTTACCAGTAGAATATGCGAAGAGAATTCCGGCAGTAATCTGCAATTGAAAAATGATGCTAGAGAAGCCTCTAATGCTCTGCTCGGCAATCTCAGAAACGAACATGGGAACAACGACAGATGCTGCACCGCATGCTGCCCCCGCAACAAACCGAGCCAGGAAAATCCTTTTGACCCAGGAAAAATTCGATTACGTAATGTAAATAGAAAATCAATGAAACCGTACGATGAAGTCGCTATCGCTGACTGGGAATGCAGTCAGTGTAATTAATGGAAACGTTCATGACGGACGGCAGACTTCGACGAAAGATTTCGTTTATTAATTATTTAGACTTTTAATTTCTCTGCCACTCTTATAGAAATCTAATATCGGCCAATTTATTACTGAAAGACAGTAATTAATTACTTATTTGAAGTACTAAAAGTATTGAACAACAATTAATATATAAATATTTAATATTTAAGATGAGTCTTTTAATATTAAGTTGATCAGTATTAAGGAGAGTAATTGAATAATTTTTCAGCTTAAAAAAATGGAGTCATCTGACCTTTCTTATTTTTTAACGCGAGAATACAAAATGCCAATTGCTATCTTCTAAAAAATAAATAATTAAAATTTCAGCAGTAATATTATAATTTGTTATTAAAAAATTTTCTTTATAATAAAAATAAATATTCATGTAAAAAATATTGAAGACAAATCGTTTATAATAATTATTTAAATTTAATTTAGAAATTAATAATTTTGATAGAAAAGACGTTACCATGTTTTCATTGTAAAAATATGGCAACGTTATATTTAAAGAGAATTGAATAATTCATGAATATTTCATTCTCTTACACGAAAGTAATATGGTGAAATTTAATTTTTTTAATTCCAAAATGTTCTTAAACTGTTCTTAAACTCTTCTTTTATATCTATGTAATTCTTCAAAATTCTTATATTTTGTTTACAATTAAATTACTTAAAACTCTCCTTCTCATAGGAATTTGAGCTACTTTAGAAAATTATTTAAAGAAAATTGCACGGTCCAAAAATTAAAAAAAATACAAAAAGTGCCTACATATTAACTATTTATTCTCAACATGTATTTGATTAAATCCTTAAATTATATGAAAAAATTAGAACATCTCTTGGCTAGTAATATTAGATTTCTGTAAGGGTAATTGAATCATTGTGTAATGATTCGTTGAGGAATTGGATATATAATTATTTTTTATTTTGATGTAATATTTGATATTTTCTGTTTACATGCCAGCGAAAAAAATACGCGCGTTAATATTTTACACGAGGCGTTCTTTAAATCTTTTCCAATATAATATGTATAATTCAAATATAATTCCAAATATGGGATTAGAATTTTATTATTATTACTACGGGAATGAAATACCGAATGAAATGCTGAAGTCAAACCGTGTAATCTACAATGAATCCAAATAGAACACAAGTTATTGTAACATCAAAATAAATCCAAAATGATTACTAAAAATTTTAATCATTTATGATTCATTTTATGATGTCATTTTGACTTATTACTCTATTTGGGAACCTTCTTACCATGTCTTACCATATCTTACTCTGCGCAAATCCGATAATATACCAACAAAGAAATAAAGGCACGGTCGTCATCCAAATCGTCTTCTTCCTACCAATCCTATCCGCAAACATTCCCGTTGGAATAGCGGTTGGAATTGCACCGAGAGGGACCAAAGAAGAAATCCAGGAACCTTCCTGATCGCTGACAGACAGCGTATCGTTCGTGTTATAAAGTGGCAAGGCGGACGACGTCCATGACAAATGTGTGCCAATCGAGAACGCGGCGAGTGTCGCTAAGCGGTAACAGAAAGTAAATGTCAGACACATTCCATCTTGTAAAATTCCTCTTGAGGAATATTCTATTTGATCTGTGTCGTGAAATATTTTATCTTTGATAACGTTCTGTTCTGAGAATTCTTTCTCTTAACGCTACTCTTGATATCTTCCGCTCAGAGATATCCCATAGGTACACAGCGATGAGAACGCGAAGTTAAATTACAGTCAAGAGATGTCTATCGAGAGAGTTTTAACTAGAGAGACAAACTTTCGATTAAATTAAGAGACGCGAAAATTAATGCAGCAATCGCGTGTAATAGCTTTGAGCTTTTTTTCCAAAGTCGCTACAAAGCTCCCAGAGGCTACATAAATGAAGGCAGATTTACCATTAAAATCTATCTGTCCTCTAAGCTCTCACACGCTGGATTCCGTTTTTCAACTATCTCGCTTCCATTAAATATTCATGTGTAAATGCAGTCGCATCTCAATATCATGCGAGTTCGCGAGAGGATTAAAACGCCCATCCACAAAACTCACCCACAAGCACGCCCACATATTGCGCGCATTTCGAAGTCGGTCGCTCGCACGACGATCTCTCGTCACTCTGTGCAATTAAAACCATTGTGCGTGCACGAGAATCGAGCGATCACTTTAGCCACTTAAAACACTGCGCAAAATCAAACGGTGCTCGTCATCGATACTCCGCACGTGTGCGTGCCAATGCGATGGTTCAACGACATTAAAAAGAAAACGTCATCCATCGAATACCGCGAACCGACTAATTCTAATTCACGTTCTTCTGCGGTGAGACTTTCTTATCAGCACCCATACCGATATCGGCGATTCGGTTGTAACCCCAGCGCTTACGTCATGGCCAGAGTCGAGTCTTATATCAAGTCAGAAGTAATCTACATACTACTATCTATAGTATTATATCTTCGCTTCGATATTTTGAATTTTTCAGCACTCAAGCAGCATAATTGTGTGCGAATAAGTTCATCTGTCGCTATTTACGCTGCGTTTGTGTTACTTTGGTGACAACGTTTGAAAACGTCGCTTTTCAACGCGTTCGCTTCCGTTTTCATAACGCGCTCAGTTGAACCTAAATGCGTAAGAGGTGTTGTTTCTCAAATTCATATATTATTTAATCCTTTCGCAAGAATAGAAATACTGACACTTGATATTTCGATAATTCATCTCAGATCATAACTGAATCGTATAATAATATTAATAATAATAATAATAATAATAATAATAATAATAATAATATAATTATTATAACAATAATTTAACTTATTATATGTAAAGATATCTTGAACGTCATTTTTACATGTTCAAAAAATTCATTAAGAGATATTTGAACTTCGAAGATACAACGAGACGTTAAAGAGAAAACGTGAAAATGCCTACGTAATTTAGTGAAAATTTATTAAATTTATTGAAAATTGCGTATAATAAAAATTTAACTTTTTAAATAAAATTTAATTTCTTTTTTAATTCTCTTATAAGAAAATAATTACATTTTTAATAAAGATATAGGTAATTATTTAGTTTAGCTATCGTATCTCAAAAATCAATGAAATTAGGACAGGCTTAACGACATGTTTTTGCATGAAACGAAAGAATCTAGCAGAAAAATCGTCGCTCTGTCCTGCGAACTGAGATATTAAGCGTTAAAATTGACAACTATTGAGATTAGGAAATCTGTCACAAGAACAAAATAAGATCTATAATTGTTCTATATGGGTTTCGACTTTCTACGCGAAACGACTCTCACTCCTTTTACCCCCCCCCCCCCCCCCCCCCCTCGCGATTATGCCGTGGAAGGTTGTAAATCTATGTCGTTTTGCATTTAAAAAATTTAGCCCTAATCCATTTTTTAGTGCGAGGTGGCCCTCATTTCGCGTGGAAGATTGTAAATCCATGTCGTTCCGCATTAAAAAACCCAACCCTAACTCAACCCATTTTTTGGTGCGAGGTGGCCCACATTTCGCATGGAAGGTTGTAAACCTATGTAGAACTTTGCTTCTTGAATGTACAACTTTCCACGCGAAAGTAAAAAATGAGTTGAGTTAGAGTTAGAGTTAGGTTTTTTTAACGCGAAACGGCATGAATTTACAACCTTCCACGCGAAATGAGAGCCACCTAAAAAAAATTGAGTGAAAAACGACTTTGCATCGCAGTATTTCGCGACAGTGACAGATTTCCTATCCTCAATAGTCGTCAATTTTAACGCTTAATATCTCACAAGGCAGAGCGACACTTTTTTTTGTCAGATTCTTTCGTTTCATGCAAAAACGCGTCGAATAAACCTAATTTTATTGATTTTTGAGGTAAGGTAGCTAAACTAAATAATTACCAAGATATACATATTTAATAATTTTGCACACATTAAGTTATAAGTATAAGTAGATCTATTGCAATTATTTATTTGGTTCATTCATTTTATACAGAAATGATCGAGAGAGAGAATAAAGAAGAGACAGGAGAATGTAAAGATAACAGTAGACTGCATTTTTCATTTGTATTTACGTAATGTAATCAATAAGTGCAATCTACTAACAATCTTGAAAACATGACATCATTAACACCTTTCGATCGTACTAAAAATAATAAAAGAAGAATATTCACGAAACGAAAAATAATTTACTTAGTCGCGATTGAGATTGCGCAAAGTAAGCTTACTATTACAAAAAAAAAATAAAGTTAGGAAGATACTCGAATACGAATCAAGTCCGTTCTTTCGCGTTTCCGCGAGAACAATCATTGAACAAACTCGAGAAGCATTCGTGTAATGTTTCCTCAAATTCCCGACACCGATACTTATTATGCGAGACGATACATTTGAACGCAAATCTTTATTTTGGTTCTTTTGTATCGCGAGTATTTATCAACAAAAGCAATCAAAAGCTATTATTTAATGACTCTTGATTGTTTTTATTAAATACACGAGTATACATGAATTTATTTTATTTTCTTCATCCTTTTATCTCTTAATTGAAATGAATTTTTTAATAATTAAATTTACAAAAATATATGCTGTTCCTTTTTAGAAAGCTTTAAAAAATTCAACAATATATTTTATTCTTTATTCTTCTATGAGATTGAGATCCGCTGACTAATTGAAAATTCAAGAAAGAAAATTGTACACGGTGTTAATACTTGATACATGACATCGCGCTTCGAAGATGAACTTTTACGCCTCATGGGACATTTTCTACGGTGCCGACATGATTATCACTTCGCTTCGGGTAGATTAGTTGCCATGACTCTGAATCCATTGTGATCGGCGATGTAATGCACCTGCTGAAGAATTCCGTTGGGATCGATGTAACTATAAGCTCCTCTAGTGGTACCGTCAAGCGACCTGGATTCGGTTTTGGCGCTCGAGTCCCCGGTATAACTGTAATCGTATTGGCCCAGAGAGTCCTGGGTGTGATGCAGCGAGCTGTGAAGGAATCTGTAAGGCAGCACCGGAAGTACATAAGATGCAGGCAAGGCTACTCGTTTCTGGATGTTGGAGAGCGGCAGCAGCTTCCCCAGATGCAAGGCGTTCTGATTAGATGTTCGTTCGTCCTCCTTGAGAAGCGTGTTCTCCCTTAATGACGTCGTGGTAGGTAATGACGAAGCAATGGTGGTGGTGGTGGGACCCGAAGACGTGGGCGATACCTTCGAGAGACTCGGATCCGGCTTGGGAACATTGATTCTCTCTGCCTCCGATCTTGACAACAAGAATGGATTGTTGGTAGTCTAAAAAAGAAGAATAAAAGAAATATGGGCATAGTATATGAAAAGAAATTACTAAATTTTATTTTAATATTGAATAGTTATGAATTTATTTGGAACGTGAATATTATTCTAAATATCATTTTATGATATTAGGTTTATGGTAGTTACTTTATACAATATATTGATTACATTCTATTAATCCATTAAGGTCCATGCCTAATACAGCCGTGATATCGTCAAACTGAATACGTGATTCATAGCATAAGCAAAAAAAAAATCCGTATTTTTTCGTTTTGCAAAATTGATTGTTTAAACGATAATTGTTTAAACAAATTGTTTAAAAACTAAAAGTGTCATTCAATTCTACGCTCGAAAACAAGAAACTTTTATTCTTGGTATTTTTTCGATCCAGTGCTTTGTTTATACAAAAAATTGAACGGTTTGCATGCGCAAAATCCCATGCTCTGGGTATTACATAAATACGAAAACTAACCACGTGATTCATAGCATAAGAGAAAAAAAATTACCCGTGTTTTATTGTTTTGCAAAATTGATTGTTTAAACGATAATTGTTTAAATAAATTGTTTAAAAATGCCCATTTTTTTTAAACTAAAAGTACCATTCGATTCTACGTTTCAAAACGAGGAACTTTTATTCTCGGTATTTTTTCGATCCGGTGCTCTGTTTATGCAAAAAATGATTATAAAAATTGTTATAACCGTGAGTTACAACAAATTGTTATTATCGCGAGTGTAAAAAAGCACCCCGAGTTTAGTGAGAGGCGAGGGGACTCATGGACATAAGCCACTTCAAAATGAGAGGAAGACGAATGGTCAAAACCAAAAAATTAAAAAACAATATGCAATACCCAGAGCATGAGCGGAGCAGACTTTGCGCATGCAAACCGTAACGTTTATAACAATTTTTTGCATAAACAAAGCACCAGATCGAAAAAATATCAAGAATAAAAATTTCTTGTTTTTAAATGTAGAATAAAATAGCACTTTTAAAATAGCAGTTTTAAAAAAATAGGCATTTTTAAACAATTTGTTTAAACAATTATCGTTTAAACAATCAATTTTGCAAAAAATGCGAGTAATTTTTTCACTTATGCTGTGAATCACGTATTTAGTTTGGCGCTATCATGGCTGCATTAGGCATGGGCCTTAAAGGATTAATCACAATTTACATTTTTAGCGATCAGTAGAATTTTTGTGTTGTTATAAAATAATATAGAGAAAAACTGTGTGTATATATTTTTTATTATTTATTTTATTTTGTTATTATATTGTTTTATGTTTTTATTATTTTTTTATTTATTTTATTTGTGATAATAAATTTTATTTTTATCAAAATTCTTTTACTAAGCAAAAAAATCCACAGCGATTGCAATGCTATAAATTCGTATGTATAAAAGTACGTAGATTTTTCCTTTTTACTGTCGCGTTCCTCTTATATTCGAGCAAACTTCGATTGAGATGTCGGCGCATCTTACACACCTCTATTTCTCGCGTTTTCAAATTCAGCTCGGCTTTGCTGTTGTCGTCCGGCTGGATTTGGGCGAAGCTGAAGTACGACGGTAGGATTTTGTACGACAGAAGATTCTGATCTTGCCAATTGGTCTGATGCGACTTCTGCAATTCTTCAAGATGATTTTTCTTCGCCGCGGCCACTTCTGGCGTGTCCTGTATAGTTTGCAACTCATCTCTTGGTGGTTGCGGCAGATTGCTTGCGCTGACTCTAAATCCATTCTTATCGTCCGCCGTATACGAGACTGTTTGCAAAACTCCATTTGCATCAATATAGGAATATCCTGAACACAAATAGAAATGATACTATTACATCTGGAGAACGTTTGTTCATGTAGGAATCTATTTATGATTTAATCTTTTACGATCCACTATATATATGTTATTAGCTATAATTATTGTGGCTGTTGCTTTAGTAAAATAGCATTAATTATGTAAATCTTGTTTCAGTGATTACGTATATATTCACACAATTTCGCGCGCGTTACATTATGCATCGTGCACATATCG